TGGCCATTCAACCATAGTGTCTTCAACTTGGCCGCCGAAAAAGTGAGTTTCCTGTCAGAAGCCAATCTTGACGCTATTTCTAGCTGCGCGTTCGCATATTCTGTGAGTTTCGGACGGTGTTTCCCGGAAATGAAAAACGCTAGATCGTCCGCGTATGCGACGATCTCTGTACCAAAGCGGAGATCGCACGAGAAGAAAGGGTTGCCCCGTATTTCCAGAGGTCTAGTCCAAATTCTGAACTCTATGGACAACCCCTAGTGAGGGTCATTGAGAGTGTCACGTTTTAAATTGCTACGTGGGCCTTCCGGTCGTCAAGGTAGCTCTTTGTCAAGGCGATCAACTCAGAGCCGCATTTTACGCTTTGTATGTCTTTAATCAATTTTATTGCGCCTAATAGAGGTAGTTGAACACCCCCATATAACCAGGAATACGCCTACGGCGTATTTCTCCCGCCTTTTCGCCTGCCCAGCTTAGCACTTAAGTCATCGCGTCAATGGTCCATAGGTTCTTGGTAAAACCAGATTGTTTTGCTAACATATGAATGTCCGTATCTTTATGAATTTTCGCTATGATTGTTAAGGCCGGGAGCACATAATTGTGAGATATGCGTGCCTCGGTCACCGAAATACTTCGCACGCTTGTATGGTCACACACCGACCGACCTGTGTATGCGTGTATTTGTGTTTTTTTAGCAATTCAATAGAAGTGGATGGGTTTGTCGAGCAAGACTATTGAATGCTAGTGTGCGGTCACCGCACTGCGTTGGATGTTTAACTGTGTGTATAATTTAAAGCTAGGGACAAATAAGTAACTCAATAAAAATAACTGGTAACTCTATGCTACGGTAAAAAGATATATAATAATAAATAATAGTACTAATAATAATTACGGCCCTTTTGGCCTAACATGTAGAAATGTATAAAAGGTTACACAACATAAATATAATAATTTTATAGGCTCTTTTAGCTTAATAATAAGGATATAAAAATAAAGGTTATACATGCACGGTTCTTATGGCCAAGCAGAAAATAATAATAATGTGAGAGTCACAACAAAAATATAATAATAATAATAAATAGCCCTTTTGGCTCAATTAATGTAAATATAAAAATAATAAAAAATTATAGTATAAGAATACATATTTAGCCCTTTTGGCCCAACCGTATAAAAATGTAATAATATAAAATAAATAAATAAATAAATAATAATAATTAAAACTCACAAATTGTAGCGCAAACTGGTCTGTTGCTTCCTATGCTAGAATAATATAAATCACACACCCACACACACAAAAAATAAGAATAGAAATATACAAAAATAATAAGAAAAATATTATAAAAAATAGTATAAATATAAAGGCGAGTTCCCATCGCGTGTGGCTCGGCGAATCATGAGCCAAATACGCTGACTTGGTACACTACACGCGCCGTGGGAACGCTCTAGCTCGTCTAGGCGCGGTATAGCTCGGCCAGGCTCGCGTTTATCCGAAAATTGTCGGTCCGATGTTCCGCGCCAAAGGAAATGAGCCGCGCAATTAAATAGCGTTTCAACGAGTGTGCGGTTCGGCGAGCCATAAAGCATACGTTTTTTGGTGTTTTATTTATTTTGATGTTATTTTAATAATATTCTTAATATTTTAATAATTTATAATCATGGAATGGTCAAATGATGAGGTTATAAAGTTTTTGCAACTATATGAATCACATCCACAAATTTGGAATCTACGCCATCCAGATCATAAAAATAGGAATACCTATAGTTCACGATGCGTGGAAAGAAATAGAAAACCAATTAAGGTTAGATAAATTTTTGATTTTTTAATAATATTTTTAAATAAAATATATGTTTTGTAGGGTGAGGTTGGCAATACCACCATCCTACACCTCCGACGCAGCACTGTGTGTGTGTGTGTGTGAGTAGTTTTGTTACGTCTTTTTTTTCTTCGTATGTACGTATAGCACATATGAACTTTTTTTTTACCTATGTATTATGTTTTAATATTCTAATGTCAAATAAAGTTTTCTTTTATATCTTATGAATTTGATTTATGCTAATTAATAATGGGTCGGCGTAAAAGTAACGCCGCCTACAGTTTTTAAATATTGATTTTTGTATTTTTGTAATTTTAGTGTCAAAATTGATATTACAGAAATAATAAAAAAAAAAAGATTCTCTTATGGCTACTTATAGAAAACATTTAAGCAAAGTTAAATCAAGTAAGGGTACTGGAAGTGAAGCCAAAGACGTTTTTAAATCCGATTGGTTTGCCTATGATGCAATGGCATTTCTGCACGGGATTTACACTCCAAAAAAAACAATTTTAACAGAGATAAGTTTAATCGGTTATATTTTATTTAATTATATGTATTTTATGATTTGGATACAAATATACAATACAACTCTATCATACATTATGTGGGCAGTAGCCAAAAAGTACTCATATTATTTAATTAATATATATTTATTTATTATTTTTTACTATGATATATTTCAATAATTATATTTTTTTAATACATTTTAGTGTTTATAATTTGGATTTAATTATTAGTTGTAATAAAGCGTCTTTTTTTTCGTCTCTTAGAGGAAAACTCGTAAATACGGCCCTGTACACGTAATTATTATTTAATATGTTAAAAATACCAATGGCCAATGTAGGAAATATACTTAAAGTAATCATTCACGTTGCTCTAGTCGCCGATTTATAAATGTAATAACCGGTGTTGACATGTATTCTACCAATCATGAACCAAATGTTAATTTTAGTTGTTAATAGTTTTTATGTTATTTTTGTTCATTTAAAGTATGGGTATTTATGTTTTAAAATATTATACGATATAGCTGTGAAAAATAAATATGAATGACCCGAAATAAACTACTATATCATCTATATAATTTTAAAAGTAGCATCTAAAAATAAAAGAGAAATTAATAAAAATAAAATAATTTCAATGAAATAATTATTTATGTATTTACCACAAATATTTTTAAGTTTTAGTTTGGTTTAAAAAACGAATACTTGTATTATTTTAGAATGTTAAACTTATTTTATTAATGCTGTTTTTATTAGTGTGTATAATTTTCTTGCCATTCCACTGTTCCACTTGTCAAAAAATATTCAGCTAACTAATCTCCATTTTTGCTTCAAGACTAGACTTACTTGGTACTCTTTGTAATGGAAGCATAGATTTGGTACAATTTTGTTCAGACCTTTAAGAGCCTGGAATTACAATTCCATCCTTATTTTCGGTATCGAAAATTCCAGGTGGTGTGTATATAGAATTTGATGATCTGCTTTTTCTTAAGAAATTATGTAACAATACACAAGTCATTGTGACATCTCTAACTTCTTCCGGTTCTAAAAGTATAGGTCCTCTAAATACACGGAATACCGAGGTCATAATTCCAAAGACGTTATCAACTACTCGGCGTGCTCGAGGAAGCCGGTAATTAAAAATTCTTTTGTAATTTCCATTTTCATGTACTCAGGAGTGCATAGGTTTCATAAGGTTTCATTATGTTCTTACTTAGAGCAAAAGCTCCATCTGTCACAAATACATATGGTAATAAAACATTTGTATTAGGTAGTATTCCTTCTTGTGGTATTAATAATTCATTTGTCTTCAGTTTTTTAAAAAATGGCGTGTTCCGAAGTACGCCACCATCGCTGATTCTGCATTGACAGCCGATATCAACATAAATAAAATCATAATTTGAGTTCACGACAGCCATAAGTACAATGCTAAAAATTTCCTTGTAATTATAGTATTCAGAACCTAACCTGCCCCGAGGCAGTTGCGGAAATTCCATTTTTCGTAAAAATCTGCTACTATATTTTTCCAATCATTATCATTGTTTGGCAACTAAAAAAACAATGGTTAATTTTCATTACGTTGCGTTTTTATTTTTAAATTTTTTTCAAACTAATAACATATTTACTACATTATACTATTATATATTATTTGTAAAATTATGACTATACAATCTACCTACGTTAAAAATTTTAAATATAAATACAAATAACTTATTATCTAGTGATTTTTAGTAGAGTATTGTAATTTATCATTCAAACATACGTATTTGAAATACATTTTGTATTTTTTATTATATTTAATTCATCAGTTGTTTGATAAAATTGTTTAAAAACACATAGAATATAATAAAATAGATAATACGTATTATGTTGATGTTTTTAAATTTTATTTTAATAATAAAAAACCATATATTTTATTACTTTTATCAGTTTGAAAATTTGGTGGATGATGACAACATGACTGCAAATTGTCAATTACACGACACAACTGATTGGGACTTTAAATTTAAGAGCCTATCTCCATCGTCCAGTAAAATTAGTAAAAAAAGAAAATCAAATGATAAAGTGGAAGTGATTGAGAACAAGATAGATGAAGCATTTAAAATTTTAAAACAAATTACACAAACTCCGGCCAAAAATAAGTGTACACTTTTTACCGATTTACTTTGCACTAAATTAAAAACTTTAAATAAATACAAACAAGACATTGCAATGATGGAGATTGACAATCTTATGTTTCGGTTAGAACATTCAGATAACCAAATGGTACAGCCTCAATCACCCTATTATCAATTTCCAACTACTAATATCCCGACATATTCTCAACAGTTACACCATGATAATTATTCAAAAGCATCATCATCATCATCATTTTTTCAGCCACAACCATCACCAGAGTACATATCTCCTACGCCATCTACATATTACCATCAACATTTTCAACAATTTCAAAAACCAACACCAACAACATTACAACACAGTAATGTAAGAGAAAAAAAGTTTTGATCAAGATACTAATTTTGATTCACCCTACTAAAATAACAATATTATAAATGCAATTTAGTACCTATAGGCATTGATACATAGATAGTCTAAGACCCAAGTGATAGGAAAAATGGTTAACGCTTTATAAAGTGAAATGGGAACCAGAATTGTAGTAGTGTGAGAGCAATGCCAATAGGTTGCGCTGTTAGTAATTTGTTCTACCATAAAAATGTTTTGTCTTACCAAGACCAAAATGTTGATCACCTATCTGTTATTAATGTTATTACTATCATTTAAATAATTCAATCTGCAACAACGGTCAACCAGTGCCGTAGATAGATACTTGTGTGCCCCGGTGCAAATTGGTGTAGGTGCCCCATAAATAGTGTACACCATTTATAGTGTACCATGTATTAGAATAAATATATGAAGACAAACTAATTTACACAAGTTTTATATAATTTAATGTAATATCAAAGAATTTTAATAAGTTAACATCTAAAACGTTATAAGATATATTATAACAATAACTACATTATATATTTATATTAGGTATTGATTATTTAAAATTAATAGATCACTTATGATAATAATTATATTACATTCGTATACTATACTCACATAGAAAATTAAAACAAAATGCATGCGCTACTATTTTATAAAAACTAGTATAGGTTATAGGTACATATAATTTAAATTTTATTTTGTACAAATTTAAAAAAAAAAAATGTAGTTACACATTATTAATAATTATAGGTTTGATGACTTTTATTTTAATTTAGCTTTGTAAATAATAATAATAGTAATAATAAAAAATTATCTTAATTATATTTTTTATAAGTCAGAAATTAGTTTTATCAATACTAATTGTATTACCTACCTAATTTGAATATTAGTGTTAGATTTTAAAATTTTTTTTTCTTGCTTTTTGATTTGCGAAATTGTTAATTATTTGGTCAATATGTAGTTCTTCGGTGCGCTCTCTTTCTATATTTAAAATTGAAATTTTATTGAGTCTTTCTTGAGAAATCGTATTTCTTAAATAATTCTTCACATGTTTCAATTTAGAAAATGATCGTTCGGCTGAAGCGACAGTTACAGGTATAGTTAAAAATATCGAGCATGCAGTAATAATATCTGGAAAGCTACTTGAAAGATCATTTTCTTTTATGTAATTTACCATACTAAGGATATTAGGCAATTCAATTTGATTAATAATTGATTTAAAAGACAATACTTGTCGAGTAAAATCAGAACTAATGTCAATGTCATATTTTACAGCAAAATCATAAGATGCTTTTATGATATCAGCTTCATTGTTTTCTTTTAATGAAGAAGGATTTAAAAAACTAAACGTACTTGCAACTTCATATAATCCTTCAAATCGTCTACATATTTGAAATAAAACTGTGTCAATAATTGAAAAAAAAACTTGACTTTAAAATTATCTTTTGTTGTATTTAAACGTCTATCTCCATCTACTTCATTGAAATAATATTTAGCAAATGCCTGTCGCTTAGTTTTAAAATCTGTAGGTATATTCCATTTTGAACATATTAGTTCTGCTGTATTTAAAATATCTTTAAAATTATTTCTAAGATTCGAAATTGACTGATAAGCTTGATCTAGAAAAGTACAAGCACTTTGAATATTCATTTTTTGAGATTGTAACATTTTTGATACACATTGAGTAGACCTTAAAATATTTTCCTATAGACATATCATAAGAACAAATTCAAAAGACTCCATTGAATTTTTTAAGGATTTACTTACAATTTTTTCTTCTGACTTATGACTAGTTAAAAAAATCATTGAAAGTGATTTTAAAACATCTACAAATCTTTCTTTAAGAGCAAATAACGATTTATGTCGAGCTTCCCAACGTGTTGGACAAAGTTTTTTAAGTGTTTTTTTACGAATATCATTGGTTTCATTTCCAAAAGCTAAAAGTGCCCAACGAGGTGCACTTGAGCTGAAAAAATTAAATTTAGATTGTATTGTTTCAAAAAATCGTAGAGCATCTGAAGAACTTTTAGCGGCATCACATATTACCAGATTCAAATTGTGAGCACAACAATGAACATATGTGGCGTTTGGAGCTTTATCAATAATTCGTTTCTGAACTCCTGAATACATACCCTTCATGACACTGGCCCCATCATACCCTTGCCCTTTGCATTTTTTTATATCTAAATTGGTATCAGAAAGAACTTTATAAATTAGGTTTTCGTATTCTTGTGCTCCATGTTGGTCTATTTTGTAAAATCCTATGAATGATTCTTTAACTTGCAAAACATGCTTTTCATGATCAATTATAACATATCTAATTATGATGCTAACTTGATCTACTTTGGTAATGTCCTGTGTAGAATCCATAATTATTGAAAATCCAGAACTGCAAGTTGATATTTCGTTGCAAATAATTTGTCTTACATTTGAAGCTAGAATTTCTATTAATTCGTTTTGAATAGTAGGGCTCAAATATTTAATTTTATATTTGTTTTCATTGTCAAATACTGATTTTAAAATAGGATCAAATTCAGCTACTAATTTCACAGTTCTAAGAAAATTTCCTTCAGAATATTGTTTTTCTTCATTGCCTCTTAGAGCAGTATTTCCTGCAGTTAAAGTCAGTATTATTTTAACTATGCGCGTCAATATATCTCTCCAAAATTTCACTTCTTTTGATATTTGTGTTTCAAATTCTTTGTTGATAGTTAAATTTTTTGTCCACATTGTTCTAACTTTTATAGCATTCAAATGTGACAGTGAAGATTCGTGAATATTTATTTTCTGAGAGAGATGTTGCCAGTCATTTATTCCTTCTACCCATTCTTTTTTAAGATTACAATTATTTTTACCAGAAAAAATCCAGCAAGTTTCACAGTAAACCATATCCCAAATTACGAAATAACAAAGCCACGGTCTAGGAATAAGTGTACCATTTTTTAACTTCACGTAGTAATATATTTTTGAAAATTTTCTTTTCGAGTCATTAAGAGGAAAATCTATTTCTGGCTTACAAGGCCCATACTTCAGAATTTCACGTTTTAATTTATCGCTTATACAATTTTTAAACATTCCTCGGTCGGTTGGAAATCTTTCCGATAAATCGAGTTCTGTAATTTCATATTTTTAAATTATAGTATAAGGTTTAAGTCAGTATAAATTAGATAATTTTGTTGGTTATTTTATTCAAAGAAAAATAGCAATTAAAAAAGTCGAAAGAGCATTAAATTAAAAAAATTAACACTCACCACAGTCATCGTTTTTTTCAGTAAATTCGGTGGTGTCAAATTCTTTAGTCGATTTTTCATCAGAGGGGAAACAATTGTTCAAATGTTCAGTAAAAACTACATAAATGTTACAAATAAATAAAAATGGTTCTCAGGCATGCCCACAGAGAAGTAGTTCAGATGCAAAATACTTTTAGTAAAAGTATTTAGAAAGTTAACTTACCCGGGGGAGTAGTACTTTCAATAATTTCATATTCATCAGTTGACTTATAAGTTTCAGTATTAAAACTGAGCAACCCTCCTGTCTTGTTTTCTGTGTGTGCGTCATTTGATATTAAATCTGTGGTCGAATTTTTATCAGAGTGAACAAATTTGTCCATATATTCAGGTAAAACTACATAAATAAATACGTATATTGGAAATAAATAATAATTAATATTTATAAAAATTCTTCATATTATAATACATTACTTGTAAAAATAATAATAATAATAATAATAAATAATAGTGAAAAAGACTAGAAAAATAAATACTGAGAAAAGGCCGAACATTATTTTTGTTATTATAAATAACTTAGTATTATTTTACAATGTACCTAAATATGTAATAATGATTCACTGAATTGTTTTACTAAAAAAAATTGTATTATTTTACCTATGCATCTTTCATATTTATTTATAAAATATAATAATTTAATACATACCGTTGGTTGGCAATCCACTTGTTTTTGTAAAAAAACCACTTATTTTAGTGAGCTTTGAAATATGTTCTTCCTGTTGTATTTTTTTTTTTTCATTTTTCATATCCACTCAGTTGTTTTTTTGAAGACATTTTTAATTTGAATAAAAATAAATGATACTCGTACACTAGAGCTAGGCTGTATATTCCACGCGTATTAAGGAATGAATGACAACGACGCGTAGTCGACAAATTACAAATGTTATGTTTATCTGATCGGTTATAGACATACTGTTCAACACAACAATCTATAAAGACACGTTTTTAAATAGGTAATCGCGATAACGTGAGCCGAAACTAATGGAGTTGCTCGCAAGCCAGAAATATCATAAGTTTCCGCGAACTCGCGTCTCATGCTAACGACACTATAGGTAATGTAGTTACATATTATGAACTATTACCGTCTATGCGTCTATCAACATAATAAATTAAAAGGCCTTTATTCATCATCTCACAATAGTATTTAATATAATTTTATAAGATAATTTTCTTTTTTCTTTGTTGTATATTTTAGGTCACATTATCACATAATCGGTAAGGGCGTAGGGCCCTTTCAAGATCAAGTGCCCCGGTGCATTGCACCGCCTGCACCAGCGGTTTCTACGGCACTGCGGTCAACATCAACAACACCTACAACGTGTCAACGTTATTATATTTTGTTTTTTGTCTGTGTTTAATATTATAATTAAATTTTTTAAATGTCCCGTGCTTGTGGTACTAAGTGTTCGTATGTGAACTGTGGTAAAAGTGCTCGTTCTGTCTTGGATCTTAAACTCTGCCGTTTTTCAAAAGATGTAAGTTTATCAAAACAATGGATATTAAACTGTAGTAAGAAATAAGAATACTAATAAAATTAATGAATATAATATTTATATGTATAATTTATAATATAAATATATTTTATATTATATATTATTTAATTTGCTAAAATAATAGGTATTAAGTAGTTTTTAATTAAATTGCATTACATACAAATACCTACATGTATTCATTTTGTTTTGTAATTTTATGAGTACCTACCTACTGACTTACCTATAGCGGTTTTTTATTTTTATCATATTAAACTCAACTTATATAAGCTAGGATCGTATGTAACTGTATAATATTACATTTATGTATTCGATTTTTCATATTGTATACCTACTTAACTTTGGTCAAAACCTAGTATGTACTTAACTATTTTATTAATACAAAATACAAGTATAATATTTATGATACGAATAAAAAATAAAATATTGTTTTTTTTTACATATCTAGTTGTAAGTTAAAAATATGTATTTAATTTTTTAGGGATCACTGATTTATTACACCTTGATGAAACTGATTTATACAAAAAAACGAATTTGTGAGCACCATTTTGTAGAAAACGATTTTACAAGTTCTAATAAACAAAATTTAAAAAGGTCTTCAATACCACAAATGTTCACTGCAATAGAAGATAACAATTTACATGTTACTTTATCAACCAAAACGTACAAAAAAAAAAACCAAATTGTTCTTAATCAACTCCATGTGTTATTGTCACAAAAAGAAAACGTTCATCATCAACAAATTGTTCACCATCTAAAATGACATCCAGCCCAAAAGAAACTATCTATGTTGTAACACCTACTACATCTCATACATTACCACCATCATCTTCAATTGCCAATACTCCGGATATGACACCTATATCTAGAACTCTAATGCACAAAATGATTGATTTTCCATCTTCCATAAAACCAAAAAAAATATTTCCTGTGACAACTAGTAATACAAGTATTATAAAAAGACTTAAAAAGTCATTGCTCATCAAAAGTAACTTTTAATGTCAAAAAGAGTCATAATATTCAAATTAAAAAAAATCTGACTTTATTAATTTATTGAAATTTCCATCAGAAAATGCAAAAACTTTGGTTAAAATGCAAATATCACGTAAAAAGACAAGTACAAAGTCATGGTCTCAGAAAGAAAAGCAATTGGCTCTGAGTATTTTTTATAAATCTTCTTCAGCATATAAGTTTTTATATTTTTCAAAACAAATTAATTTATACCTGGACTCACTTCGATTAAGAGTTGGATTGGAAATTTGAAATGTCTACCTGGCCTTAACACTGCTTTGTTTAAGCAGTTGAAAACTATAATTGATGCTATGAGTAGTCGGGAAAAATATTGCACATTAGTCTTCGATGAGATGAAAATAAAGAATTTCTTGAATACAATAAACATTTAGATCTAATTTGAGGGTATGAAGACTTAGGTTCCAAAGGCAAAACTAAACAACTTGCTGGGCAAGCTATGGTGTTCATGATTAGAGGTCTATATTCATCATGGAAGTTGCCTATCGCATATTTTCTACCTTCTACATCAGTAAAGCACATCATGTTGGCTGATTTAATAAAAGAAGTACTAGAACGTTTGTTTCAATGTGGTCTTGTAGTCAAAGCTATTGTATGTGAACAAGGTGTTAGTAATGTTGTTGCATTTAAGGATTTAAAGATGACAAAGGATAAACCATATTTTTATATTGGTGATAATAAAGTTTATTCCATATTTGATGTGCCACATTTATTTAAGAATTTCAGAAATCATTTTATAAGAAATAACTTTGTATGCGCGCCAGTAAGGCTCATTTCACACTACACGGTTTTGACCGTACGGCAAAAAACCGGACGGCGACATTTTGTTAGAGGCGCTAATAAGAGCATATACGCTTTCATATTATACGGTCACGGCAAAATGCCGGCGCCGCGCCATGCAGCAACCGTCTACTGCCACTACAGTAAACGGCAGCCGGACGGCGCGATAAGCTTAGTGGCGTACGTGACCAAATGCACGTTTTCATATTATACGATTTTATTCGTGCGGCAGAGTTCGATTAGCCACTTCGAGACACGATTACTTATGATTAACAAATTACTTAATTACTTGTGATTTAACTTACAATATATTATCTAAATAATGGCGGAATTCAATGTAGAATTTTTAATTACTCTCGGGCAAGAGAGACCAGTGTTGTGGGACAAAGGTTTAGAATTGTACAAAGATAGGAATGCTACAAAAAAATGCCTGGTGAGAAGTTTTAATAGAACTTAACCTGGAATTTGATGCTCTTGATGACAAGGAAAAAAATTTGTTTGGTAAGTATATTTTTAATAATACTACAATAATAAAATATTATTTAAAATATAAATTCTTAGTTTATCAAAAAAATTGAAATACCGATATAAATTAGTTCATTTTTTATTCATATTCACGGGAATTTCAAAGTTTATATTTTCGACATTTGCCATGGTAAACTTCCGACGTCAGAAACAAAATATTTACACAATGTATTTCTTATATTATTTGGCGTAAGGCCTCCTCTTACGTTACTTTCATCAGATATATCTGAAAAACCTGTGATTGACATTGTATCCAAATCGTTATATCCATCCCTCTCAAGTACAAAATTATGTAAAACAATGCAAGCATTTACAATTTTGACAGCAAATTCTGGTTGTACATTAATTGGTCGATGAAATATCCGCCACTTATTTGTGAGGATCCCAAAAGAGCATTCAACAAATCTTCTTGCTCTAGATAGTCTATAGTTAAAAATTCTTTTATCAACTGTCAGATGTGTTCCACCAAAAGGTCTCAGTAAATGTTTGTGTAAACCAAATGCTTCGTCTCCAATGAAGAAGTAAGGTAGTTTTGGACTGTCTATTCCGGGCAAAGATTTTGCTTCTGGCAATTGTTGTTCATTATTTTCTATTGACTTCCACAAAGTAGACTTCTTAAACACTGACGAATCGCAGTGTTTACCGTAACTTCCAACGTCAATGTACACAAATCGATATTTGGAATCTGCAACTGCCACGAGGACTATAGAATTATATCCTTTATAATTAAAATACATTGACCCACTGTTAAGTGGGCAAGTTAAACGGATATGTTTCCCATCGACGGCTCCTAGGCAGTTCGGGAAATTAGCTCTATTCTCAAATCCGGAAGCAATTAACTCCCATATTTCTTTCGTTGGTGTTGGAATACAATCCTCTCTCATTAGGCACCAAATTGCTGTACATACTTCTTCTACTATTTTAATTGCCGTTGAAATTCCAATTCTATAACTGAAATGTAAATCGGTGAATGTACAACCACTTGCAAGATACCTAGAAAAAATTTAAATTATGAATAGCATATACAATTATTTTTAGATTCTAAACAGAGTAATAGATGTATTGACTTTACAATAAGGTGGGTGCTTTATTTATTTATTTTTGTGTCTGTCATCACATTTTGAAGCAGTAAATTTTTTTCAGGATTGCCAATATTCTTTTTTTGAATATTTGATTAATATGTTTTCTTTCAGGTCAAGGAGTTCTTAAAAGATGGACTAATCTTCGCGATTCATTTTCAAATTATTTTAAAAAAGACAAAGAATGCAAGAGAAGTGGTTCAGGAGCAAAAAAAATTAAGAAATATGTATACTTTGATCAATTGCAGTTTTTAAAAAAAATTTATGTTGAGCGACCGACTTCGAATAGCCTGGAACCGGAACCGAGAACGATCCACAGAATGAAGAAGATGACACAGAGCCTCAACTGCAAGCTTCAGATAATGTTTCAGATATGTCTAGGGAAAAAACAAGTAATCCACAAAAAGGAAGGAAAAATAAAAGTCAGAACGAAATTGATTTGAGAATCATAAAATTACTTGAAGAAAAGGATCAACCTTGTAATAAAATGGCTTTTTGCAAAGTCTCTTGCCTCACCTGCAACAGTTTGATAATCAGGACTATTTACGAGATTTCAAATGGGTGTTTTGAAAGTTATTGAAAATATCAATGAAAGTAAGAAAGAAAAACATCTAGCTACATCTTCTTATTTCCCACCTCATCAGCAACTTTATGTAAATACATCAAATCCTACTCAATATCATCCTCGACTATTGTTCAACACTCCCAACCACTCCAATGTTTTCTTATCTCAGCCATATTCAACTGGAAATCAGCAAATTCCACCATGCAATAAACAACTGACTCCTGTTACTACCAACCACGAGGTCTCTTACACAGAACTTGAACAGATTAGCCCTTCTG